CTCATAATCAATTCAATTGCCCTTCGAAGCAACCAACCTACCCTATCAACATTCAAGGAACAATCCCTACCAGCCATAAGAATACCAACCCTCTACGAAAAGAAGAACGTAACATTTAACCCAGCCTCCCTGGATTTGAATAGCATCAACCTGGAAGCCACTCGACAACTCCAAATACAATTGGAAGCCCAAAGACGAAACATCCCAGAAATAATTTCTCCAATTGATGTCAAACATATAAGTTTTTGGACAATTATAATTTACATAATTATTGTAATGGGTTGCATTTGCATATTATATAAACTTTTAAAAAGTAAGTTAAATTTAAAGAAAAACAAAGTTGCAAACAACGACATAATTCTTTAATGTAAAACTACACCCATATAGGGTATACTTTTATCTAAAGGCGGAGGAGTTACAGTCGCCTTATCATTAAGACTGCATTTCAGCCAGACGCAATTCAGCATCTTATTGTCTATTGTTTAGTTCATAAGATTGTTTTCCTTATCATGCAAACCCAAGATCACAAGCATTCTCATCCTGTACTCGCTTTAATAAAGTCGTTTTTAAAAACACGTTCTTTCGAGACCACATAGTAACTCTACACGTTTTCTTCACTTCTATTGAAGGTTTATTAAATAAAATTTACCAATGTTTAAAACTGATTTGTAATTGTTTTTTTTTTAGACGGAGAAGCGCGTAATTTCCCTGCAATTCCTCCAACGCCATCCGCGTTATTGAGTAGTAGATTAGTATCGGTTGTTTGACGGTGATGAAGTTTTAATTGTTTTTTTGTGGATGATGAAATTTTTTGTACTGTTTACTTTTTGCTGTAGAATTTTGGAATGGATAAAAATAGGCAATTGCAGATCACCCGGATTTTTTATGCGCTGATCGATCGAGGATCAACACTATGGAAAATTTTCGCCCTCTGCCTGAAGCACAGCAATAAAAAAGTACTCAACTGCCCTAAACCGCTCATCCTGGCTAATTTGGTTGACGAGCACAATTAATCACCGATCGTGTTGAATAGGGAACATAAATCCATAAATCTGAAAATCTACTATCGAGCGAGCAATTTGTTTCCTACAATTCACGCATGCATTTTTGTACCAAAGCTATGATTAATTTGATTGATTGATGATTTACCCATAAATGGCGAAGTTGGTCCAAAGCCCCAGCCAGATGTTGGACAAAGCCAGATCGGTCGGCTGTGAAAGATTGTTAAATAAGTCTGGTGTTGCGTACTGGTAAAGCAAATCGTCACAGTGCGAAGGACCTGGAATCGGTGAGGTTAAATTTTTCCTCATAAATATGATTTTCGACAATTTACCCAAGTGATAACTGTAGCTTTGACTTTGCGTGGAAAACGGCGTTGCATATGTATATTCGCCGGAATATTCAAAATTATACAAATAGATGGAATTGTGGCCATTGGATAGTTGCAGCCTCAGTGCTTTGTACAGCGGGTACACAAAGTATCTATCGGACCAAACCTGGAACGTATTTTGTTCATACTCGGATGGAAAAACCCTTTTTCTATACCTACATCGATAAATCCCTTGACTTGTTGAGCATCTTGCACATCTAAATCATCATGGTGTAAATAAAAGTCGAATATTTTCCTGTACGTTTCTTGAGTCTTAGGTTCGAAAGATTCGAGTCCAAGTAATTTTATCATTGTTTCATTAAATCCTTGGTTCAAATTGTCTTTTTCACTGTGAGCAGTCAACATAGCTGCAATTTCTTGGACTAATTTTAATTCTTCTCGTCCCACTACCGGACTTACATGCAGCCACTAGCAATCCCTCATTCTGCACAACCCCAGTCATCCAAGGTACGTGCTTCACATTTCCAGATTTCAAGTCTTCCATTACTTCTGGTGTTATAAAGGGGTTTGGATTGCAAGCCGTTTCAGTCTCCACGACTGTGCTCCATATAGTGAATGGAAACCTATGGAAAATCTATAACGAAATCGGAGAAAGTAAATCAGTGAGCGACAAATAAAGTTGAGACGTTTGCACCTTGAAAGCATCTTGACTCTGTAGCAGCACGGCTACACTAATGTTTCGAAGGCAGTTTACAAGTGTATACGTATTTTCGTTGTTGCAATTTACAATCATTCCTTGAGCTTTGGTCGCTAACAATTGAATCGTATTGTTTGGTAGAGCCCAAGGGGCTAAAGCGTTTCCACTTTGCGATATTGCTCTTGCAAATAACCCTACAATGTTACATTAGATAGATTTAAGCACACATTGGCATGGATCAGCCTTGTTATACATTTTAAGTTTTGAAGAGCACAATTTAAGAACTAACCTCAAAAATTCATTTTTATTATTATTTGAACAATTTTTCATTGTTATATATTTTTTATTATATTTATTTCAGAGTCGGTTCTATTTTTGATAAAGAGTTTTGATTGTAAATTGTATAATCCTTTAGACATCCTTAACAGCAGGAATTCTCTTCTATAAGATTCTCTCAAATTCACATTTGTAAATACATCGGTTATTATTACACTTTTTTCACATTTGAAAATATTGTTGAAATCCTTGGAGTTTATAGTTTTTTAGCTTTTTTAAGATAGGAGTTGAATTAGACTAGTTAAAAAAGGCAGAGTAGGTATCTGTTTTTTCCTTCATTTTATGACTTGTTGAGTTTGCATCTTGCAGGGAGCTATTCTCAGTTTCAGGAAGGTGTTTGTTGATTCCGAAGAATTGTGTTAAACTGTGGTTTCCTTATAAAGTGCCCAATTTATATAGTCAAGATTTGTTGGGCCCAAATAAATCGGGATTTGTGAATAACTAGTTTGGTCTATTCATTAATGTCTTTGAGTAAAACGATCAAGCAAACGATTACATCGTCACGTTTGTACTGGACAAATCGCCATATATATGATGTAATGCGAGCGAACAGATATTTACGGCTTTTTTACATTCCAATTTCAATGGAGCTTAGAATTATTCCCTGTACCCTAAACAACTTTTTTATTCTTTCCACGTGACACGATGCAGCTTTCGATAAGTTTATCTTAACATTTTCCCTGTAAGATCGCTTTCATATATTGCTGACTCGTATTTTATTATACAGGGTGAGTTTTTTTCGATGACTAGTACAGGGATCTTCAGAACTAGAGCAGTTACGAAGAAGGTTTTGACCTTCTTTGACCAAGAATTGTAGTTTTTAATGCTCTACTCGAAACCAATTTTATTTTTCTAAAATTTGACAGCTGGCAAGATAGATTTTTGGGATAAAACTTATTTACGGTATATTTTTAAATTACTCCTGGTTCCGTTGATATTCATTTGACAGGAAAACATTAAATAGAAAACATGTAGGAAATTTAATTCAAAACAAAACGCCATGACATTTCTCCAAAATAACTGTCAATTTCGCCACAAATTTGAGTTTTTTGAAATGGCTACCATACTTGATTATTGCTTTACCGAATAGAGGATTTTTTCTACGATTTCTGTGAAATATCACATCGTTAGGTTTTTTCGAAAATACAGTGTCTGCGAACAATTTAAACTTTTTCAATTTAGTTCATCGAAGTTACCCATGGAAATTTCCATAGTAAAAAATAATAACAGTATACTTCAGTATTTATTTTGACAATACACTCCATAAGTGGTGACGTCACAAATTCGACATATTCAGGAACTGTATCTAAGCAAAGCAAATTTGCATTGGAGTTAGATACGAAGTTTCCAAAGTGTGCTGATTATCTTAACAGTGAAGAAAAAGGAGCATTCTAAGGTATGTATTTGCAATTTAGGAGTGTCTTAGTAACGATTCTACACTGAAATCATAACGTAATAATAAGCGGTTTCCTTTATTTTCGACGAAAATGTCTTGGTAACCTGAAACTTGATGTGAATGGATAGCGGGGTTTCGTATTAGTAACTGTGTAAAAACTCGTTATTTGTATTTAAATGTTATAGAATAATGGTTATGTGTTGGGCTCTTGAATATAAAAATTATGATGGTCCTGAAAATGTTCGTTTTTCCGGTTTCCAAAACACCCACCCACTTGAAATCGATGGATAATGTTGGTACGGTTAGTAAATCTTATATTGTTATTTGTAAACCGCATGTTACACTTGAAAATGAGTTATAGGAGAACTCTATAGATCCTGGTCCTGGTGCTTTTGTATACAGTTGTCACTTTCTTGATGGGGATAATTAAAAAGGTTCTATACAGGTCTTGGCCGTATTACAGTACCTTGTCGCAAAATAGTTAAAGTATTGGAGTCCCGAAAAATGAGCTGAATGAAAATATCTGCCGTAGCAGAAACACCAAGCGACCATTTGAGCACAAAGTAACTACATATTCCTGTAATTTATATATAACCGACATACACACACATATAATTTTCAGGCCTGAAACTGAGCCACAACCTTCGACATCGACTGAAGGTATTCCTGAAACCTTTATGTCTACAGCACTGATTCATGCTGAACATGATTTTTGTCAACAAGTACAGGAAGTGTTAATGGGACTTCACAATTTATCTGAACGTTTTTCAATTTAAAGTATAAAAGGAAATGGCATCTTAGTATTTATGTATTTTTCTACTTATGCTATATTTAAATGTTTTTTGCATTGCTCAAAGATATAAGTAGTTTGTTATTATGACTGGAAAGTCGAAAATCTTAGTAAGCAATATCAGTTACTCATTACTCACATGAAACTTTAGCTGTTAGTTTTAATGTTTTGCAGTCAAAAATATACAGAATTACAGTAATACACAGTAATTTATCTTTTTCATACTGGCTCTCACATCTTTAAGTCAAGCTGGAGACTCTTGCGAACACTAGCTCAATTACATTGCCTTTCTCTTAACCGAGTTTTCACCCCTCTTTAACTATGCATAGTCTACTTTAAAGCAATCCGCTGCAGCAGAAAATCGTACGGCGTGACCTGCAGACACTTAAAATGTTAACTTATCACTAGAATCGAGGAACTAACAGGTCGGGATGTGTTTTTAATCGACAAATTGTCTGCAAGGCATGTACACATTCGTATCCAACAGCAATCAGCTGTTAGAAAATATAACTTGCATGTTGAAAAATGTTTAATTTAAGAAAAAGTAAGAACGATGTATTTAATGTAGTGAACAAAATAGTTGCTAACGATAGCGGTGCTTTCCTTTTTTCTAATATTAATGCTTAAAACCTGCAGATTTCTAGCAAAATACAGAATGAATCTAGGTCCAATGCTAATAAGATACGACAATTCATTTGTGTGAATACAGTCATTCGGCGCGCGCATCGTCTGACGTCAGACTAATGGAGCGTATTACGTTAAAGTTGTCAATAACTTTATTTTAATTAAGAGGGCTGTTCATTTAAACTGTTTATTACAAAAATTAAATCATACCAATAATAACTAAAATTTAACTATAGAAACACAAATTTTTATTGTAAAACATTTTCAAAAAGTCCACCATTATTATCAATGCAAATATTGCAACGCTTGAAAACTTAATAAGTTGCTTTTCTTGCCGACCGACCATCAATATTTTCAAATGCTCTAACAACAGCTTCTTTAAGTGCATTTAAATTGAAATATTTGTTTTTGTAAACTGTGTTTTATGCGGCTCCCCACATAAAGAAATCCAAAGGTAGAAGATCCGGTGATCGAAGTGGCCATAAAATAGGCCCGTTTCGTTCAATCCAAGCCCCAGGAAATGATACGTCCAGATGATTCCGCCCTTCGTAAAAATTATGTGGTGGAGCGCCATCATGTTGAAACCATTGCACATTATACCATGTTTCTAAATCTAAGTCGTTCAACATAAAGTCCAGGTTATTCTTAAGGAATTGAAAAAATCGTTTCCCATTTACGGTGCCTTCAAAAATAAATGGTCCAAGAAATCGTGAACCTACCATTCCGCTCCAAACGTTAAATCCAAATTTAATTTGTGGTATTATTTGCTCAACGTGGTAGGGATTTGTTTCATTCCAAAGATGTTCATTGTATCGATTAAACATACCACAATTTGTAAATCGATTTTCATCGGTCCGCAATATTTTATAAGGGAATTGGATGTTCTGTTGGTATTTGTTTCGGAACCATGTACAAAAATTCACACGCAGATCCGCATCCCCTGGACGTAAAGTTTGGGATACTGATAATTTATATGGATGAAATTTGTGTATTTTTAAACTCTCCTCACGGTGCTTTGAGAAGTCCCGGATTTTGCTGCGATCTCTCTGGTTGAAATCTGTGGATTCTGGTTTACAATGGCCAAGACACTAACCTCCACAGCTTCATTTATTACTTTATCTTCATTTATTGGCTGCGTAAATCTTCCATTAGTGCCCTAATTGTCGTGTAATCGTTTAAATGTTTTCAAGGACGGTTGACGACGGTCAAAATACCTCTCAAAATAGTAACCAGAACCTCAAGGTTTCAATCATGTCTCGCTAATTATGAATCAACACGGTTTTTAGAAAATACATTTTATTTAGAGCAACTGATACAAAGATCTGACCACAACAAAGGTCTCGAACAGAATCATAAAGCTAAGTCATACAACTGCGAAAGTAAACAATTAAAGCACAATCAGCAAATATATAATATAAGTACTGAGGTTGCAACTGACTAAGCTAAGATATACTAGAGGTGTACAAAAGTAGTGCATATAACTCCTCCCTCCTTAAGCAGCAAACGTAAGGGATATAGTTTGCAAAGGCTTGACAGGGGCTTCTGTTTGAAGATGTGTCAATTGGTGATAATCGCTTGACGAAGTGTTTCAGCTGGAATATCCCATCGAAGTTGATCCGTGTTAAGTTGGTAATGGTTTTTGATGAACTTTTTGGAATCTCTTCCAGTTTGATTGTCGGCAGAAAGAATGGTTTTCCTGCGTACTGTGCTCAGCTTGTACCATATAGGGATATTTAGGGATTATGATACTTTGATTCTGGATTATTGGATATAAATTATGCAAACTAAATGTTTCAGGTTTTATTATAGGGACGTGAATTGCAAAAATAATTTTGTTGTTTGCGAAAGTAACTTGCGTCCCAAAATATTGATAATAATATAATTATTATCAATAAAAACATCTTTAAAATTTGGAACTACATCACTTTCATAAATTAACTTAACCTGATTTCTGATTTCTTTTAGTTCCGGTAATGATATTATTGAATTATGTAAAGTATTCCATTTTCCAAACATTATGGCATCTTCTAAGTTATCCAAGTAAGTTA